ATTTCCCAAGTGTTGTTACGCTCTAGCGCTGAAAGTTCTTGTGCCATGGCCTCCCGCCATGAGGTATGTTGGACCGCCTCCCGGAAATTTTTGGGTACGGTTTGAGTATCAATAGCCCCAACAAATCCCTTATACCTGTCACATAACTTTTTAGTAGAAACAAAGTTAGTAATTGGATACCTTGTACCTGAAGAGGAAGACTGGACAGGGGAAGGCGATAACGAAGTGACGGAATGAGCTGAATAACAGATGAAGTCGTCGAAACGGGTAGGAGGGCGTCGTTGACGGGGGGCTGTGACGGGGTTATTTGTGGGCTGGGGTGGCACTGTTGGTACCGATTGTGAAGTACTGGTCGGTACCGTGGCTGTTTGAGAGGGGAGGATGATGGTGGGTTGGTCGGGCAGAGACGCCGAAGGGGTGACAGTGGGTGGGGGTTCCTCGGCGGGTGACAACGGTGTGGGGAAGTCGGAGGAGGAAGGGGAATTAATGGGTTGATTATGGGACGACGAGGGAAGCTTGAATGGGAATTGGGATTCGTCGAATGATATATCCCGGGTATGGAAGAAACGATGGTTTTCAAGATCATATACTCTCCACCCTTTTGTACCGAAAGGATAACCAACAAACATGCATTTGATACTTCGGGGTGAGAATTTTTTCGGTGGTTTGGATACGTGACGGACAAAACATAGGCATCCGAACACACGTAGGTGACTCAAATCGGGTATTTTATTTGTGAGGATTTGGAGAGGGGATTTCCCGTCAAGGAGCTTGGTTGGGGTTCGATTGATAAGATAAACAGCAGTTTTGATGCATTCTCCCCAAAACTCTATTGGAAGAGATGCTTGGAACATGAGAGCACGGGCGACGTTTAGGATGTGTCTGTGTTTACGCTCGACCCGCCCATTTTGCTGTGGGGTTCCGACACAAGAAGTTTGAATACAGACCCCTAGGGACTCATAATATGTGCGAAGAGGGGTGTTTAAGAATTCTGTCCCATTGTCAGATCGGACTATTTTAATAGTTTTCTGGTACTGAGTTTGAATCATGACAAAAAAAA